ACCATGGCATCATCAATGGAGACAAATGGCAACCGGAGTCGGGAAACCGAAACATCATGGAACTACGTTCCCCTTTTGGAAAACATACACTCCTGTTCCTGGAACCATGACCTCATGTTTTAACAAGACACATTTTATTGACAGTCAGTCAGCACAATGAAACAATTAAAAATCTGACAAAACCACCTTATCAGTACCAATAGCATCTTATCGGTAAAGTGCTGAGTGCTAAAATTAACCCATATAAAACAGAAAGGAAAGATTAACTCAACCTGAAAATCATCTTACGACTTACAACAAATGCTTTGGTAATCCAATAAACAGAGCCTGCACTCGCCCGTCATTGCAATTAGAATACAGATTTGCATATTAATTCATTAACATGGTGTAAGGGAAGAAAACTATACAGTTATAAAGATATGCACAGATCAACTTGTATTTGCATGGTGAAAATTAAAAAGAGCGCGTACAGTATATATATAAATCAGGCTATAGTGTGGAACAAAGACAACTGAACAAATGAACAGATGAATAATGAATTTGGAGCAAAACCAAATAATTAGTAGGTGGGTATCTGGGGAAATAGCAAGTATTGCAGGCCAAATGCCCTGTATAGATTATCAGATGTGAATCCAAGGACAAACCTGTAGCCGTCTGTTCTGTTTATGGTTGCATTATATTTACATCGCACATCAGCGACATGCCAGTGTGAGGCACGACCTCCCAAGCTGATGGCACTAACTGCCGGACACCACTGACCTACCCTTGAACAGCTACAGCTCCAGCTGTATAAAGAAGTGAAAAATGTATGTTCCATTTCACCTTCAAAAACATCGTGTCAATGAACATCCACAGCGAAGCCTTGAAAGACACTCTAGGGACAGTAGCAGGCATGCCTCTTACTTCATTTATAATTCAAGAAACTCTCATCTGTCACCCATTTACCTTTGACGTCCAGCAGAGGTGTTCTGTTTAAAAATCAAGAGATAAGGGGGAAGATTATTCATTATCTCTGTAATGGATTAACTAATCAATACATCACATTCATTTGTGAAGCACTTACTTTGCATACAAAACCTGGCTGATAAAACGACTGGCTTTCCTCTAGTGTCATGTTTTCAGGCTCTCTGGGCTGTAATTCAGGTACCTCTTCTGCCAAGTTCTAATTCTGAATTCACTGGAATCACTGAAAAGGCTGACCAACCCCTTATGCACAGCCCCATGGGCCTATCTGGAAAGCATCCGAAGAAGACCCTCTAGTCAGCTGGCAAACAAACCGTGGCCATTAGAACCATTCAATGGGGGAAGGAAAGATAGACCCATTACAAGTGAAATATATGAAATTAACTATTTTGGCACAATGTGTGAGACAGAGCCCAGAACACAAGCTATGGGAAAGCCAGAGTGTACTAATAGCTTTAGGCAATACCAGTCCAACAAGAAGACCAGAATTCGGTACAAAGACACCTGGCAAATAATTAGTAAGGTGTGTGACACCCTGCAATAGACACAAAGGCTGAAGGCGTCCTTTCGATCTCCTGCAATCTGGCTGTGGCACACGACCTGCTCCCTGGTCCCCGTTTCTCAGGCAGGTTGCTTAGAGGAGAGCAGTCATACCACAGCAACGGACCTCTGAATACAAAGCCAGCAATAAGGAATTGAGTGGTGGGTCCTAAACTAGTTAGCTGCTATAGCCTCAGAGGGTCAATGGGAAAGTGCAGTAAAATGTTTTGTGAAGGATATGCCCCATGAATTAGCAACTTTCCCGGGTGATAATGTTGGTGTTTTGTTTTTTCCTGGGGCGCAAAGTAATTACTGCACCATGTTGATTTCAGGCAGCTTTTTCACCCAGATTTACATTTCAATGGGAGCTGCATCACAGTACATTACCATTCAGGTTGGAAGAAACGGCTATACATTGAAAAACAGTTACCTTATCAGCTCTCAATTCAGAGAAAGCTGCAAAGTGGCACCTTTACTGACACAAAAAAGGCTAAATGGGAGCAACTCAAAGTACTTTGATCTGGGTTTATTCCCATTGCACAACACAAGAACAACAGTAATACAGGCAGACTTTCCCAATGTGCGTTTCACCTTTTGTAACTTCCCCAACGTTTATTTTCTTTTTACAGCTCTCAAGTGTGTTTTACAAATTGTGCGTTTCCATGGTTCCAAGTCATTGGTGCTGGTTTTAAGATGCTGGCAACTTCTGACGGCATGAAGCCAGTGTTTAGATGGTAGTCTGGCTTTAAACCCCTCACCAAACAAACCATTTGTCCTGGCTAAAATCTTAAACAAAGCTCTATACCTTTTGGTTGACCTGTCGCTGACATCTAACACAGACTTCAGAGAGCCCCTATAAGAATGGATGGGGTGGGGGCTCCCCATCTCGTATTTCCACATTTAAAGCAGCAGTGGAAGATAGAGATGAAAGGATTCATTTGACGCAATGAAAAGAGACACAGCACACCCACAACTGGCCACAGAGCAGGCATATGGAGTAACAATAGACATGGAGGGATCTTGGCGACAAGAGAATATTTCTTTGTCCTTTTTACTTCCTACAAAAAGTTATTTGGTAATGTTATCATTGGTGACGTATATTTTCGATCAAGAATATTGTGACAGTGATTAATTACAAAAGAGCAAATTGATCATTGTTACCGTTAATCATTGCCTGCTTGCTTCTTTAGCAACATTTGATAAATTAGTTTGATGTAAAAAGCTGACTTGGTGTAAATGAAAGAAGGAAATCCAAAGTATGTTACGTGTTAAGATAACGCCGCAGATATGGGAGCAGCAACTCTCAGATTGAAACATAAGCAAGTGACCCCCAACGCTGAGTTGGGAACAGAGGTATCTTATGATTGAGAGATACAAAGGAGTTGGTTAAAAAATTAGTTGCATTCACTCTGTTCATGGAGGAGAGAAAATGGACCTTGAAAGGCTGCCTTTGCCATTGTAACAGATACGGCGTTCTGGTCCGATTAGCAGCTTGCAGGGTTGTTTGCTGAATGGCTGAAGACCACACAAACCCGCTCTGTGGACTTAGCCTAGTTTCAGCAGCCAAGAGCTGCCCATTGAAAATTGTCCACACTTCCTTGTGGCTTGGATCTTTCAGTGGCAGAAATCTGCATTTTTGTCTTTGGATTGAAAGTCAGATTAATCCCTTTATTGGCCTGAAACAGTTCCCCTGTGAACGCAGGTCATGTGATGCGGGATGTGTGAACGCAGGTCATGTGATGCGGGATGTGCCTCACTCTGCTCCATCCACCACCTCCAGCTCCTCAGTGGTCTACCTCTAACAGGGACAGCATTTATAGCTTTAGCTCATCTTCTGCTTGTGGTTTCTATTCCCATTCCGATATAAAATAGTCTACCAGTTGTGACAAATCAGTGCTATAGTGTCACGTCTCTGGCCCTGCAAAGGCTGTTCAGTCGCTCCTGCCTTCAATCAGAATAAAGCATACTGTCCTCGCACAGTGGTTGAAACAGAGCATCTAGGCTCATCTGTGCTGCATCCCATCAACCTGGGAGCTCTCTCACGCCCTTGTCAAAGGCTCAGGATGCAGTGCCATGTCAGATGTGTGCTCTAATTTATTGAGGCCTAGCTGGTAGAAGAGCTTAAGGGCATGTACTGGTAACCCACAGGTTCTTGGTTTGAGGCCCAAAAGGGGCTGTAATATCCTCAAACCACATAATTAAGCTTAAAATGACCATAATATATCCATTGCCATAAATTAGTACGAAATAAAACTGAAAACTTACTGAAAAGCAAACTTCAAAACTCAGGCTGTTCTTGTTGTTTTTGAGATGAGACTGCCGATGACCTAAAGACCATGCAGTATGTTACAATATTCACTCAAACCAAAACTCACCCAGTCCTCTTTTAATACAATGAAGAACTTTCGTTAAATTTCCAGAACTCAGTAAGTCCACAATCATTTTCTTGAAAATGTATCACATGGACTGAGTGAGTTATGGAAATATGCTCTCCAATTGCTGCACTAAATCTTTCACACTTTTTTTTAATCATCTGTTTCCTGTGTTTTTTGCAGATTTTGCACAAAGTTTATCAATCAAAATGTATATTCAGAGCTCTGATTGTATCGAGGTGCAAGGGATCGGAGTGGACGGTTGTCATTCACAAATTTTGTTCAAATTGGATTAAGAGCGATATTTTCTCTCACAAACAAGTGTTTCTGGTATAATATTTGGCATAATTTTGCAGAATTTACATGCAAAGCATGGAAATGGATGCTAAACTCTATCAATTAATATGAAAAAAACAAACACACTTGACATATCTAAAGGTTGATTTAACATCTACAATCTTCCTAATTAAGAAGGCTCATGACAATTGCCACCAAGTTGTTCATTTTTGCCAAAAAAGGGCATAAATTGAATTGGTTAGAAACAAGCTATGGAAAATGTTTTTGTATTTACAGATACAATTGTGTCAGTTACTGGGGAAAAGTCTAGTTCTTTTTAATTATCTGTAATTCTAAATTGAATGACTTATAGATCAATGTTAAATCTTGGGGGTAAAAATAATTGAGAAATGTGATCTTTCGGTGCTGAAACATGTAAAGGCACTTGTCAGACATCACGGCCCTCATGATCAATCTGTTACCATGATCAGAGAATCAAAGTCCTACACACCAGTGATAAAACACTGCATGACCTTCTGAGGCAGACCCACTCTCAACAGAATCCTTGCTGTTGGGTTTACAGGTTGACCTGCTCTTAGATTTCCACTGTATTTACAGTATAGGCAGCCTCATCTCTGGTAAATGTCATCAACTATCCCATTACCCCAGATCAGTAACTTCACCAGGCCACTAGGGTGACTAACCATACCATGCAAAATCCTAACTGTGGATCTCTGGGTTTCATACAGAACTAAGAACAAAGATTACGCTATAGACAGGGCCTTGCATGTAGGAAGCTGGCCACTGCTCCCTTATCTAATCTAAGGCTCCGACATAAAGCTCAACACATGAAAATCTTTGCTTTATTTTCTGAAGAAGATACAAATAAATGACAACACAAGAGGTGATATGCAAATTGAACTTTCACACACTTGCCATAAGCCAGTAATAACTCAATGCAATCGCTTATTACCCGCCACACCTTCAACTCAAAAAGTCATTTACAATTAAGCAATGGCTATTTTACTGATGTCCTACAGCTATTGCAATGCAAGGGTGGTGCTGATTGCTCAGCACACAGCACCTAAAACAGTGTAGATTAAAGAATTAGCAGTCATTGTGCTTGCTTGTTGACGTGGCGTGCAATCAGTGCTGGTCGGAGCCCAAGTAGCGCTCTAGGCAAGCTTCAAACCCCCCGCCCCCCAGCAATTTCACTTTGTTGCAAATGGCACCCAACATAAATCAGCACCCCCCTCAGAAGATGGCACCCTAAGCAGCCGCCTATGTCACTTGATGGGTGTACTGGCATCGAGTGGAATTCCTCACAAAATGTATAACATGCCACGTGTTTGCAAGGGATGGAAAAAGTATTATGCTGGAAATAGAAGAAGAGGCCATAGTTGGAGTGTTAGGCAAGTTCCAGGTGACAGATCACTTTTTCTAGCAACCCTGTGATTGGTTTTCTCACGAACAGACGGCAGCATGTTGTGGCCTGTGTTAAGCAGAATTAATGACAGGCAGGCACCGCCTTGCGGCTTTATAAGCGCGTCACAATGCTGACAGCGGTACGATCTGGCTTCCTTCTATGCTTAAATGGTTTTCTGACATATCCTTCAAAGTGACTTCTCAGAACGCCGCGCTCACTCAGTGTCTCTGAGCTGCAAACCATTATGTTTCCCTGCAGACTCACTGGCATGTCTGGTCGTAGCGGGTATCTTGTTTACAAGGTTACAGAGCGTATGTAGAATCAATTTCCAGCCTGGAAGCGAAGAGGAGACACTTCACTGCGTCCCAAGCAAAACGCGAGATTCACGCTCCATTGAGGAATATTTGTCAATGTGTCCCCATGGGAACGTGCGAAGACGTCTGTATTTACTGTGGCTTCCAGTCTGTCTGGAGTTCATCAGGCACGGGAACAAGATGGCTTGCGTGTCTTCATCTGCGTATCAGTGCGAGGGCCATCACAAAACTGCCATTTCCATTAATCCCTAGCCCCCCAACAGAAAGAAAACACAAATATATGTCATTGAATCCAAAAATTTAGGCAAGTCCCATAAAGACAAACGCACACAAGCTAAACAAGAGAATCAACATTATTGAGGGCCATATATTCATGAGGGCCTAGTTCATTGTTGGCTGAAGTGGTTGTTGATTGTATTTTCAGATGCAGATCCGCTGCAGCTCTGGGCAAGCAGAGACACTGTGCTACCTACAGTTCTCACTTCCATAGGGTGGCATGGTGGTTAAAGACACAAATATGTATCTTGAAGGATCAGCATCCAGACTTGCTTCTACAATATATTTCATCTGAATTATCCAGTCAAAATAACTGGCTATGGAAATGGGTGAAAGTACCGACTACATAACAAAATTATCCCAATAAAGAACATTCAGTAAAGATCCATTTCTATGGTGTTTCCACAGGGACCCTCACCAAAACCACTAACGGAATACCCCATATCAAACTGAGTATTTACTGTTTTGTCTTTGGCAGCGAGGCAAGTGGGAAGATAACTGACAGACCCAATGAAAACTAAAGAAAGAGATTTGTTATTGGTTCTCAGAGACACAGGGCTCTGCCGCTTAGCATGGGGGGGGGGGCTGAACATCTCTCTGAGGGATGATCTCACTAGAGTCCATGGCATTGGGACACAGGCAGTGCTCATTGTTTAATCTAGGAAATAGAAGGTTTCAGGTTCTTTATCAGCTATGGAAAATCCATACAAAAGAATAAAGAATTCCAGGCGGTGGCTGCGCTAATGAATGTCACCTATGTGCATGCAGGGTGTTGGGAAGCTGTAACCCAAGAAAGCTTACTTTCTTATTAATAAATAATAATAATGATAATGACATTTTATTGATCCCCAGAGGGAAATTCTCTCATCGCCTACCCTATCTTGCTCTCCATGACACACATGCAGGTGAGCGCACGCTTGGCAGTGAAGAGCAGCCATCTGCAGAGGCGCCCATGGAGCTCAGGCTTAAGGGCCTCGCTCAAGGGCCCACAGATGTGACTATTCCAGCAAGGCTGGACTCGAACCGGCAACCTTCTGACCACAGGCACCGAGGCTTAGCCCGCTGACTTACAATGCCCATACAAAGCTATGTCAAGGCCTCCCCGGTTCATGAGTTAAATCCCAAAAATAAAGGCCTATCCCAGGAAGCCCAAAGCATGAAGCAGGGGAACACCCATAACGGGATGTAGACACGTATCATAAAAGGTTCATGTCAATACAGCACAAGCTGATTCATAAACAGGAATAAGGCAAAGAACACATCCAGGTGTTGCGCTGCTTGCTTGTGGCTCTGGTCAGGTGATTCCTGCTCACTGATAAGGGGAACTTGGCAATGAGGAGTAGTGCACACGGCATGACGCGAGCAAGCGAGCACGGCTAGCTGAGGCCCGCCTTTCCGTCAGGTGTGGTACACAATTTATTCTGATTTGCACGTCCTTGCTTGATCTAATTTGAGTGTGACTCATTCCCCCAGAGGAATTTATGCTTCTTCCTTAATCAGCAGAAACAGTTTCAGGACTCTTTGCATATAACATGAACAGATTTCAACATGACAATTACCTAATAATGAAAGCCTTTTCCTTAGCGAAGATGTACATCTAGATGCGCTCTGGGTTTCTGCTGCTGCTGGAGTGTCCCTCACAGCGTCACTTTGACAGTCCAGCTTGGATCCCGCCATGGTTATGCCTGGCAAACACACACCACTGACTTAGGTTAGATGTATTCTATAAAAGCAATCCTTGAATTGCACTTGACTTTTGCAATAAGTGGAGTCTGCATTTATCCTCTGAGAAACTTTCTTGGGCTTTTAGTATATGGGGGAGGGGCTGGACAACAGAGGACACAAGCAGGGTTGCCAATTTTCAATTCGAGACAAGTCTGCACACACATGCACACGCATTTACATGCAGGTAAAAGTTTCATCAGCTTGTAAATAGTCTGAAGGTTTTGCAAACTGCCCCAACACTTTTGATGTAGCTGATTTTAGGTTTATAATGGGATAATATATATTTGGCGTAAGATTTCTTGCGTGAGCGTGATAGTCTGAAAGCATGAGTGTCAACGCTGGCAACCCTGCAAAAGGCTCATAGCAAATGGGTGGATCTGTCAGGAAATACCACCTATGGCTCCCTAGAAACTTTACCAGAAGAAAATACTTGGTTTGTGTTTTAAAAGTTAATCCATATTCACTCAGTGTGAAATCATAGTGCCATGTTGACAGTGCAGACATTTTGACAAAGTACAAAATGAATGGAGCGGTGTTTCCTGGTGTCCCACTTTGATGCTCCCCGGCCAATTAACCCTGTTCCAAGCCGGCTTTTCCAAAGTGCATATGCACAGCGAGCCAAAAAAAAAAAAAAAAACCTTTGCACAGGAAGCATCGATTTCCAGTCCCAGGGCCAATTACACACAGCCATTAGTGCAGCACGAGAACTGGCGTATCTGATAGGCCCTTCGAGTGACGCACGACCAGAAACCAGATGGGTTCTCTGGTGCGATTCCCTTATGGGCTGCCCTTTGACTTTTGACAAAAAAGGACATATTTAAAACATCCACCCAAATACAAATCACAGGGCAGTGCAGTAATTGTTTGAACAGCCGCATAGGAGAAATTCCCATACAGGGCCATCTGTAGGGGGAAGTTCAGCTTCCAAGGGAGGGCTTGGTGCAGCGTGAGCAAACAGCCCATAAAGACAAACTGCCACTTTCTTTTCACATGGAAATCAAAGTCACTTTGTCTGAGGTTAAAGGGTCTTTGGGGTGCTGGTGTTTTGCTGGAGTTGCAGTGGTGGCTGCCGTCCACCATAATTCTGTCCTGTGGACACAACAGGTCCCAGATAAAGAACTCAGCAGATGATGTCAGAGTGTCAGCACACATAAAATGAGGAGCACCCCCCACTCAAAAGCGGCCAGTGGGGGGGGTTTCCCACACAATGCACTGAAGCAAAATGAATGGGAAAATAAACAAAAAACATTTTTATCAGTCATTCAGTTATAATTTCTTTCCTTCTGTTCACAACTCTGAAACTCAAATCATTAAATACAAGTTAATTAACATCACCTTAATTACTGACGACCGCGTTTTTACTCCTGAACTTGTGACACAAATCGCCTCCTGGTAATGTTTGCTTTAGCCTTGATTTATAAGCTACAGTAACACAGTTCACACCTTCATTGGAGCTGCATTAACAAATGGAGACAGGATAGAGGCTAAGACCCCCTTGAAAGGTAGCATTACCAGCAAGACAGGGTCCTGGAACACTGAGGCCAAGTAAAATATAAATAAATAAACACAAAACAGCCAAATTCGCCAACTGGGCGTATGGGAAGCCCCGCCTTACAAGCCATGACGCACACGCATGCACAGGTGTGTGGACTGAGTCACCAAGTGTCTGTCTAAACGTTCCCTCCCCACGCCCTGCAAGTTTGCTGCCTTCCCTTTCAATGACTTCCAGGGCTCTGTTTTTCCTCTCTGCCCTTTATTCCAGCAGAGACTTTGTTAGAAGCTTGCAACTGTGGCTGAGGAGCAGTCACACCAGGTCCTTAATCTGCCGAGCACTGGTGACCACATCAAATACAGCCTGACGACTTCAAACTGTGCCTTCAGTCTGGCCCCTCTCCACCGTCCCAGCCAGGGGCAAATCTACCAGACAGACATACACTGTGAATCACACACACACACGCACACAAGTCTGGGTTCGCTTTTACCACAAACATCTAATATTTTTAATGTCTCTGTCTTGAAATCAGAATGTGTCATTCTAGTGTCTTCTTGTAAATAAGAATGGTGAGTGTCTCGTCTTTGTGACACATTGGAGCCTGTCATTGTTTTGAAGCACACCCTGCGGCTTCCTGCATTAGCCTTAATTTATTCTCAAAATCAAAAACAAATAAGTTAAAATCAGAGATGGAAAGTTCAGTTTCAGAAAGTATAAATCCAGACCAAGGTTTTATTTCAACCAACCAGTTGCGTATAGAGAGTCACAGTCACAGAGTACTCAGCTGGTTGGTTGGGACAAAACCTTGGTCTGGATTTCTTTCTGGACCTGAACTTTCCACCTCTGGTTAAAATGTCTTTAAATAACACTGCAAGCGAATTACACTGCGATCAGCTAATTAGCTTAAGAAGTGACTGTCCCTCGCAGATTCTTTGGGAGCTTACGCTGTGAAGCATGACACTCCCATCCGCGTGTCGGTAACATGAGGACTGGGGCTGTGCCCGTGATCGGAAGGTATTGAATCCCAGGGCTGGCAGACTGATGCTACCTGCAGGCCTCTGAGCACGGCCTTTAACCCCCAGCTCCAGGGTCACTGCACATTGGCTGACCCTGTGCTGTGATCCCCAAGCTTGCTCTCAGCTGCATGTGCGCCTGTGTGTATCTTGAAGAGCGAGATTAGGTAGGCGAAGAGAGAATTTGCCCACTGGGATGAACGAAGTATCTCTGTTCTACATGTCCTAAACACTGCGTCAAACAGCTGAATCTCAGGCACTATTCATGCTGGAACAAAAAGAAACAAACACATGTTTTTACAGTGGCGTGGCCAGTAACTGGCTGCCAGCAGGTACCGTAGCATTATATCCCCACTGCAGTGTCACAGGGGCCACCTGCCCCCGGATACACACTGCAACCACGCAAACAGCCGACTCGGTGAGAAGCAGGTAAGGGGGGTGTGTGAGGGTTACTACCAGGCCACTGAACCCTCCACCCAGCCCCCAAATCACAAGACAAGCTCTCCTCTCAGCTGAACTCCATAACAAACTGCCCCCCCGCCCCCCACAAAGGCTGTTATGCTTTACTTTGGCACAGAAGACATAAAGGGGTCCATTCAACCCGAGACCTTGCACACAAAAGCACAAAAATAGCTGCCTGTAGGAAATAAGCCCCAGACGATGAGTGTGTGTCTCTCTGGCCTTGTGTGTGTGCCTGCACAAGCCTTCTCTTATAGTGCAAATTTACAAGGGATAACTTGTAAAATTCAGCAACCTTCTTATTAGAACATTACTGAATGAATTAAATGAAAGCCAGAAATGATAGTTTTCGGGTTTTCAGTTTCCTAATAAGACCCTTTATTTAACAAGGCTTCAGTAATGTCCTGTATGCCGTAATTAATTCGGCGCTTTTGGTTCTCAGAGTAAGCCAGGGTTGATTATTTAACCATATCCTTTTACTTATACTTAGTCTTGTACTTAGTACCTGTGCAATTTAAATTTTTTACCCAAAAAAGCAGCAAGTACTTTGCTTTTTGGTAGAACAGCAGGACCCATCCTGGACATTGAACTTGTCAGTCTGCCTTCTGAGCTCATTTTACACAACTGGTATAAATTTTGTATAATGACAGAAATATATTACAAAGTAAATTAGGTAAATTCTTCTAGGAAATTGGAACAGATGCCTGTAATGAAACTTGATATAGAAAAATTCTCATTTTATGATAGAGATGTCTGAATTATGGGTCACATTTGAAAGATGATTACTTTAAGAGGTACAATGCATTTCAACTAGGAAAAAAAAAAAAAAGATTTTAAAAGGCTTGTAGTGCTTCAGGAGAATTTTAGCTTCAAAGAGTGAAAGTGAAGCCCTGATCCTCACGTTACCGATACGGGGAAGGGCGCTTCATGCTTCAGTGTAAGCTCCCAAAGAGTCTGCGAGGCATTCAGCTAACAGCCTGAAGAGACAGCCAAATATATGCCATACTCAGATTTTAGTTTATTTTGGCAATTTCATATAAACAGCTTATAATGCCACTCACTTGGATCACTTAGCCAAATAAGAAAGGAGAGAAAAAGTGTGTTAGACTTCTAGCACGCAAGCCGGAGCTTGCCTGTAGCCTGCTGAAATTTGTGAGCCACTGTGCCAAGCCGATGTCGGAGCTGCTGGGAAAGGCAGCAGGCTGTGGTGCTATTATCGGCTGCTTCTGAATGTTTACAGTACTCCCAAAAAAACACATTCATCACACAGAGACATACTAATGAATAAAATACTACCTTCTCATTTCACTGCTGCAGCTAACAGATACAATAACTCATCATTCGTACCGTAAAGGGCATTTGAAGAGAGCCTCGAAGGCGGGTGTGTGCGTGCGTGCCTTTCCGGGACACTGGCCCATCGTTAAATCGATTTGACATCAATTAGCATGTGAATGAGTTAAAAACAGATCTGGTCATGAATGTGAACTGTCCATGTGGCCTTTGTTAGAAGTCATGAAGCTTTCGGTGCGCCCCCTTCCTCTGTCCTTCTAAAGCTGCAGAGATCAGGCTGCTCTGCCCCCCCTACACACACACACACACACTATTATTATGCCTCTGCCCCTCATAACTCTTGTTCAATGACTAAATGTGCTTCATCTTAATTAGCTGGCCCGAGTCTCTCCATGTTTTCAGCGAAATTGTACTTCAATGTAGCATTTTTTTCACCTGTGGGATCCCGACTCGCTTAAACTTATATGTGCTTCCCAAAAAGTTTCCAAAAATCTATTTAAAAAAGTAATTGAATTAAAAAAAGCTGAAAATAAAACAAATCAATGCTGTGGAAACCTAGAGCCTAATACTTCTCAACTTAATTAAAGCACCTTACGATGCAGCTGAAAACAGTATGATGATTCAGCAGAAACGTCTAAGAAGAACTGAAGAACTGTGATCTGTTAAGGCCCAGTAAAACCACCTTTTCTTTTCAACAGCTGTCGAA